TTTTGTTCTTCCTCCTCCCTTTGCTGCTGTGGCTGCTGCTGCTGCTATCGCTGCTGCTGCTGCTGCTACTGCTGCTGCTGTGGTGGTGCTGACACCTCCTTCTGGATGCCATAGGCACGACGAAGCAGTGAACAGCGGCTGCGTTTGTTGCTGCTGCTCTTGCTTTCGTTGTTGCTGCTGCTGCCGTTGCCGCTGCTGCTGCTGCTGCTGTTGCAATAAGGTTGAGGCCACCCCTTGTCTTTCACAAGCTCGCTACGACGCGACTCCTGCTGCTGCTGCGTGTGATGCTGCTGCTGATGCTGTTTCTGTTTTTGCTGCTGCTGACGACGCCGGTCTTGCGGCTAAGTTCGAAGGGGTCTGTCAACATTAGCTGCAACAGCAGCAGCAGCAGCAACTGGACAGCAGCAGCAGAACGGCCGCCAAAACCAAAGAATTCGACTCCAGAAATTAGAAACACTTCATCATTTTCAGTTAATTTTTTGCTGCTGCGCTCCTGCGGCTGCTGCATTGAGATCGGCGAGCTGTCGGCAGCGCCCCCCAGCATGCGCTGCTGCTGCTGCTGCTGCTGCTGCTGTTTCTGCCGCGACTCTCGCTAGAGAAGTGTTACAGAACTCGGTGCTGTATTTTAGGACATTTCTTCATTTTATAGATTCTACGTTTGCTGCTGCTGCTGTAGTTGCAGCCAGTGTGCTTGCTGCAGAAGCCGTTGCTGCAGTTGCTGTTGATGCAGCTGCTGCTGGGATATTACCGTTGCTGCTCTGGCTCTTTGCTGCTGCGATCTCTACTACTTAAAGTTACACTTTGTTCAGCTCTTAATGTTACACAGTCTTCAGCTTAGTCGCTGCTCATGCTGCCTTTGCAGCTGGCGTAGTTGCTGCTACGGCAGGCGTAGATGCTGCTGCAGACACTGCAGCAGCTTCTGCTGCTCTGGTGTTCTTGTCTTTTGTTCTCCGGCGTACATTTAAAGATAAACTGTTTGCTTTTGTGGCTCAGTCATGTTTAACTGCCGAGCCTCGCTGCTGCTGCTGCTGCTGCTGCTGCAGCAGCAGCAACAGCAGCAAGCCTGCTATGGGCTTGGCAGCAAACAGAGAGGTGCAGAAATGAACTCAAGGAGGCAGGAACAGACATGGCATTAGACATATCAGACACAAACAGCAGCTGCTGCTGCAGCTGGAGAGGACCTGCTGCTGCTGCTGCGAGCGCCTGCTGCTGCTGCTGCAGAGCATCTGCTGCTGCTACAGAACGCCCACTGCTGCTGGACACCTGCTGCTGCTGCTGCAGAGCGCCTGCTGGTGCTGCTACGAAGGGACAGAAAACAAGAAGACAAGGCTTTGCTGCCTTGGAGGCCTTTGTGGAATATTTTGCTTCCAAATTAATTTTTAATTTCTTCCTTTTTGTTGCTGCTCGCCTGCTTTGTCTGTTCTCCTGCTTGCTGCAGCAGCAGAAGGGCTGCTTTTTGCTGCTGCTGCTGCTGTTGCTGCTGTAATGCTGGGCCTGCGCTGCAGCGCAGCAAGCAGCGTAGCCACTTGCGCCGCAGTCTGCTGCTGCACGTGGCGTTCTTTGGGGTCTGTTGTCTCCCGAATCGTCACATCTAAGTGCTGCTGCTGCTGCAGCAGCTGCTGCTGCAGCAGAGAGCGCAGCAGCTGCCGCATGGAGGGGCGCAGCGCCAGCAGCGTCGCCAGCTGCAGGGCCTGCAGCAAAAGCAGCACTAGCCTCCAAGCGCAGTCTCAAAAGCCCTACGGTTTAGGGTTTGGGGTTTAGGGTTCCGGGTTTAGGGTTTGGGGTTTAGGGTTTGGGGTTTAGGGTTTACCATGTTGAGGTTCGCGGGTTCCTGTTCGAGTAGACAAGCAGCAGCGACGAGGTGCACGAGCGACTGCGGCAGCTCTCCATCCGCTTCACCCTGCTGCTGCTGCTGCTGCTGCTGCTGCTGCTGCTGCTGGCAGCGGGGCGGCGCTGCTTCTGTGGGCATGCAGCAGCAGCAGAGGCAGCTCAGAGCCAGCAGCCGCTCTGGTGCATAGGCGCAGGCGGGGGGGGGGGGGGGGCCGGCCGCGGG